AACCCGACACCCCTCGACGGAATGGGACACGGAGGCCGTTGAAGCCTCTGTCAAGTTTGAGCTTTGCTTGTGTGTGTTCAAGCACTAGGAAGCAGTCCCTGTATACGATACTATGATATACCATGACTTAGTATACTAGAATGTACGACAATGTACACATGTGCCATATCTGGAAGGTTTAGGATTCGGCAAGGGGGGGGTTAATGTTCAGGGGAGGGGATTGTCCCAAACCTGCGGCAGCAAAAAGCCTGCAAAGAACAGGAGCTCGGTGAGAGGATGACGGATGAAGAGCTGCAGGCCTTGCGGGGCTGAACTGCTCACTGCTTGCCTTCAAAGACCCGCGCCTGCACCCCAACTTCTTTCCGACTCCGAACAAAGATAAATGTAGGCTTAACCCTAAGCCCTAAAGCCCAAACCCTAAACCCTAAACCCTAAACCCTGAACCCTAAACCCTAAACCGTAAACCCTGAACCCTAAACCCTAAACCAGGAGATGATCGATGAGGCCGACCGCGATGGCGACGGCGAGGTCAACGAGGCCCAGCTCACTGAAGTGACGAAGATCATCAACATTTGTTGAGAATGCTGTAGTGGGCAATACTACTAGATGTTTTGGAGGAAGATGGTCTCAATCTTATTCACGACCAATCCCTGATGCTGTAAGCTACGAAAGGAAGAGTTCCTGCGCATCATGAAGAAGACCAACCTCTTCTAAGAGCTCGAGGCCTGGCTCCCTTATAGATTTCCGCTTAGGGGGGCCTCCAAGCACAGAGCTCCCATTGAGACCTGGGCCACAAGTCCACAGGTTATGGGGTCCTTAAAGGGAGGGAGGGGGGGTTCAAGAACGAGGTCCGTGTTCCAAGAATCCCTTCTTTTCCCCACCTCTCCCTAAGGCTCCCTAAAGCTTCGCAACGGTTCCCTAGGTACCCTCCACAGACCCTGGCCCTAAACCCTAAACCCCTTCCTTAAGGACCCTAGAAGCAGGCCCATGAGCAGCTTTGAGAGCAGGCGGCACAGCCATGGTACAATACGCGCGTTTGGCCCTTTGGTGGGCTGCGTTGATGTGGAGACCCTCGGGATGTTGTGGGCTCTTTCCAACACAACCAATTGGACTGAATTGTTGTATCTGAAAATGTACCCACCTATGTATATGTATATGTACATACATATACACATATATAAATATGCATACATACATACATATATATATATATACATACATATGTAAAAATATATATATATATATATATATATATATCTATGTATGTATGTATGTATGCATGTATGTGTGTGTGTGTGTGTATGCAAGCAAAGCAATACGGGGACCGTGGGAAGGGCGTTTGTGTTTTTTTGGCTGTTTTTGTCTACCGGTGGTGTCCCAACAAACAAAAGCAACGAACAGCAACCCGGGAGAAGTTAGTGGTTTTTGTTGTGTTTTTAGGAGTTTGCACCCTTGCAAAAAGGAGGACGCCGACACAGGAATCCCCGTTCGTGGCAAAAGCACAAAACCAAACACCACAAAACCCAAAAGAATTTTCTGGGACACTCCAAACAGAGAGACCAAATGGCAAGAGTTCCGGGAATTGATTATCATTGTTTTTTGTATCTGTTGTTGTGGTTTTGGGTTGTCTTCCAGAAGGACAGCCACTGGAACGATGCCGCGGGTGCTGCGTCTCGGGCACATGAAGGACAGCTATTGGGACAGCGCCGCTCGTGTGGGACTCTCGTGACTCTCGTGTGCAAATCTCGCGTCTTATTTTGACGAGTTCTCCCAATACTATCGACACACACGTGTTTTTGGATCTGCGAAGACCACACGAATCCGTCCTTGGTGAAACAATCAGGAACTTGCGCATGAAGAACGTGGAGAATTAGTTAACGAAGGACAGCTTCTCGGACACTTATGCACCCTACGCTTTGTATTTTGTTGCCTTACATGTATTGAAATTGTAAGTGCTTACGTGTATTGTTGTGTCGTTATGTTTTTATATTGCATGTAAACACATACTGAATATGGTAAACTGATGCGCGTGCAGATATCTGTATATATCTGTACAAGCATACGACTAGTCTAATGCCTCAAGACAAGATGCTAGTACACATTTCCCCGTGCTCGCCGATCAGTTGAGATGAGGTGATGTGTTATACTAAGCGCAACAGAAACTATTTGGAACGTAGTAGGTAAAATCGCTTAATGAAGGATATTTCGCAATCTTAATTCAACACAGTATCGTTCCTACCAAGTAGGATGGTAATTGCTCTGTTGATATCAAACGATAGTTACATTCGGTTCCTAGTTGCAATCAAATTCAATTCGTAGGAGCTTACCGGAACAAATGCCTTAATTCATTCGTTGAGGACACTCTGACCCTCACTGGAATACACAGCGGGCTCACGCTTTCCTATTTAAACCTACCTGAACACCTGTTACTGTCTAGGATTCCAAGATATAGTGCCTATTTCTGAAAAGTACTTTCTTTCACTGGGACCTGTTGGCTATATGTATGTATGTATATATATATATGTATATACATACATATGTTTGTATATACGCCTGGATGTCACTTATTTTGTGGAGCTTCAACTAAAGTTAGAGACTTTGTGTGAGTCCTAGCAAGACATACATAGTTGTACAAGGATGTGCGCTATGTCTTGAAGTGCATAGTTTGAAAAGAACACTAAAGCAGCTGGTCCAGCAAGGTTGTCGGTTGGTATTCATAAACAAGTCATGTTTTCGAGTTCGCTGTTCAAGATGCTCACGTATGGTCTGTACTGATCTCAGAATGGAGTAGCATTCATTAGTGTACGAAATGAAAAAGAATTATTAATTGAAACGAGCGAGGAAAGACCGTCACTTCCCACCCCCCCCTTAACCCCCCTTTACCCCCCCCTTACCCCCCCCTTACCCCCCCTTTACCCCCCCCTTACCCCCCCCTTCCCCCCCCCTTACCCCCCCCTTACCCCCCCCTTTCCCCCCCCGTAAGCAAAAGCTGGAGCTTGCTAGTTTCGAAATATAATGGACTACGGATATTCAACAGATCAATAGCACTTGAGGATCGTTATCTTTGATGTTTTGCATATTTTCGACCACGAGCGACGGCCAAACAGACAAAATAGCAAACACGTGCCCTCCCGCAGTCCCCCCGGACTTAAAACACACAGGTGCAGATATAGATATAGATTCCCATGAATATGTATGTGCGGCTTTGCGTGGACTGGGGTTTCTTCCTGTCCAACATGCAACATGCCATTGCATGGGAAGTTTTCAGATTTTCATAGCGGTCAAGGGTACAAGATGCTCCAGGAGTGGGGCTCAGGTACTTGGCAGAGGTGTTTTGGGTGCGAAGCCTTGGGCAGAAAGAGCCCCAAACCCAGACCGCTCCACATCAGCAAGAGAAAACCAGGTCTCTGATCCCCACTTAGCAGCGGGGAAAGGGCCCATGATGTGCCCGCATCAGCCACTAAACCTCAACCCCCTGAATTCCCCCAGAAGCTTCGGCGCCCAAATCGCAAAGCATTCAGTTCCACTCGTCCCCTTAAGGACTACACTTGTCTAGCCCAGTTCTCGCTGCTTACCTGGCATTTGGGTTTAGCTGGAAAAATGTTGAGGGCGGCAGGAGGATTTCACCACGTTCATTCTGGTCCTCGCTGCTAAGTGGGCTGCTATAGGTCAAGCCACTGCCTTGGGCACAAGAGAGCGATCGCATGTTCTTTTCATTCCCGCACGTACCTACCGTAGAAGAGCGGTGCACCCGACTAGAAGCACCGTCCTTTGCTCATGGGTCTTGTGAATGAATGCAAGGCCTCATCCCAACAGTTCCTTACCTTATACATCTCTGGCCCCCTTGTGAGAATGTAGGAGACTTCACTGACATGTTCTGAATGGATGAACGGAGCTGCGGCATGGGGGATGCTTTGGCGACTGTTTTGGCGACTGCCTTATCAGCCATGGCAAATACTCCCCAGTTCCGAGATGACCCCCCAGCCTAAACCCTAAATCCTAAACCCTAAACCCTAAACCCTGAACCCTGAACCCTGAACCCTGAATCCTAAACCCTAAACCCGAAACCCTACTCCAACATAGGACTCACCCCCCCAAGCCGCACATGACCACAGACGCGCGGCGAAGACCCTGCGCTGCCCTGCTTCACAGAATCGGGACCAAAATGTTTGGGGGTTTAGGGTTTAGGGTTTAGAGTTTAGGGTTTAGGGTTTAGTGCGTTGGGGAGGGCTTGGGCTTGGAGGCTCTTTCAGACTTGGGTTGCTACTTGGGTCTCAGTTTGCCAGCTATATCGCCAGCCTCAACCCGAACTACCCTCAAAGTCCCTAAACTAAACCCCTAAGCCCTAAGCCCTAAGCCCTAAACCCTAATTTTGCAAACCCTGAACCATCGAAGCACCGAGGATCGCGCAAAGCGTTCTAGGAAATTGCTCTCGGAAATCCCCGACTTGGGCCCTACCGGAACTGTGCAAAAACGTTATGAGCTGCACCCTTGTTTCGGGAAGAGTGGTCTTGAAGTCTTGAAGTCTTGACGTCTTGAAGTCTTGAAGTCTTGAAGTGTGTGTGCTCAATCCGTCAACGTGTGCCAAGCTCCTTGCCTCGGCAACAAGTGTAGCTCAGCTTATGATTTGAGAAACAGTGCGAAACGGGTGAACAATGTTTCTGTTCTAGGGCTGAGGGTTTTGAGGGGATAGGGTCTTAGTTAGTAGCCGCAGCAAGTAACCTTAGAACCTTATATAGCCTTTTCGAGGTCGACCGCACATGCAGAGTTTCAAAGGTTGAGCTTCAGAAATGTACGGAAAGTAGACAAGTTGGGAAAGGAGCCTAGGACTCCCTAAACCCTAAACCTTAAACCCTAAACCCTAAACCCTAAACCCTAAACCCTAAACCCTAAACCCTAAACCCTAAACCCTAAGCCCTAAACCCTAAACCCTAAACCCTAAACCCCTAAACCCTAAACCTAAACCCTAAACTGTGTGGGAGGGGGCCATCTCGGCACAGGCAGCAGAGCGCGGCCCCGACAGCCAAGAGCGTTTCGCCACTTGGCGGCCTGAACCCTCAGGGTTTAGGGTTTAGGGTTTAGGGTTTTAGGGTTTAGGGTTTAGGGTTTAGGGTTTAGATGGTAAACAGAGAACGTAAAACCCCTAAACCTCCAAATCCTATCCCTACTTGTCCTTAGCAAGGAAGCTTCTGGAGTTGCAGGTTCCTTCTATCCCCAGTGTAAGCACGGCGTCCGGTTTCCAGCGGTCAATTCTTGCAGAACCCTAAGCCCTAAACCCTAAACCCTAAACCCTAAACCCTCAACCCTAAACCCTAAACCAGAAGGTTCGAGAATTTGTATTGGCCAGCTTCTGCAAGGTGGATCGAGGGCCTCGACTCCAGCTCGGTCCTGGTGCAGCAGGCGAGGAAGTTTCCAGGGACCCAGGTGGGTTTTTGGTGTGTTCTGTGGAGCGGAAGAAGAAGATATCGAAGATCAATGTGTGACCCAGCACCCTTGCCCATATGCTTCCAGCAAGTCGCAGAATGAGAGTGGGATGGAGTCAACATCAGTTTCCTTTCTCAAAATCCTACAGGTTGGAGATCTCATTTAGTTCTTGAGCCGTTTTTCTTTGGTGATCTTGGGGCTGTGCGAAAACTACATGGTCGGCTGCGCCCCTCCTGTTCCGTGTCAGGCTTGACCACATTTGACCACAGCGTATTTCTGTAAGGTTGGTGGACGAGGGGACTGTGGCCCGACAACTACGTTGCAAGTTCCGGTTTACAAGTTCATGCGCTAGAACTCTCTAGAGGCTGATTTAGAAAGGAGGCGGGGAGTTGCCTACTGGTTCTTGGTAGGGTATCAGGGAATCAGGTACCTTATATCCACCTATGTATGCCCTGGTAATTACCCTCATTCCCTACTCTGCTCCTAAACCCTAAACCCTAGGCCCTAAACCCCAAAGACTTAGCCCTCAAGCCACAAATCACTGCGCAGGGGTTCCCATCCAGTGGTCCGGTTGTGCTGCATGACCCTGAGATTCAAGAGGTCATGCCACAGCCTGAGGCAGGGTTGTGTGGTTTGGAGTTTAGGGTGTTAGGGTTGAGGGGGAGGGCTACTTTGCTACCTCCAAGCCCTTTCTCCACTCGACCCCTCAGGAAAATAAGGGGGCCCATTGGACTGTGACAGTATGATGCGGTTGGGCAGGTTGGGGCAACCGATGAGAAGGGCCCCACTTCAATTTTGCCTCACTGGTTTTGCAACGCAAGCTTGCTGTGCCTGTTCTGCTTGGAATTGCATCAGTCCGATTCAGCTACCGGGCACCTCGAACCTGGTGCAACGGTGTCCGGGGGGGGGGGGGGGTGTATCTATGGCAGGAAGGAAGGTAGGATGTTCTCCTTGTCGGAATTGCACTTCATGGCCCTCAACCCTAAACCCTGCAGCTCTTGCGGTTGCGGTTGCTGCAATTCTGGCAGAACACCAATGAACCTCCGTTCTTTGAAGCTACCATAGGACTCTGCCCGTAATAGGGCTGGAATCTTCACAGAATCAAGAAACCCAATTGAATTCTCTTAGGAGTGACTCGTCCAACATCTTGTACGAACTCGCCGAAGACGCGTGCGGTGGCCAAGCCTCCAAGCGGGCCGTGGCCAGAGAATTGCATGGGAGATTCGATTCTCGAGCTTTTTGTTGAAATATGTATACTATACAAGGTCCTGCATTAGAACAGGAAAGGGACCATCAAGTTGGAGAAACTCCCGCATCTCCATGTCTTTCTGATTCTTAAAGGGTGGCGGGGTGCAGGAGCGACGATGCTGAAGGTCTGTGTGGTGACGCTTCCTCTGCGTGTCTGCAACAGCTGCCATAGTTCACGGGGGCCACGTTTACATATTTTCATATATGCATATCTATACATATATATATATATATTAAGACATGAATAAGTCAACAAGTACATCATACACACCTGAACATGCCACCTCTTTTGTTGCCGTGGACCTCGCTGAGGTACGAGCAGCTATCTCTGCATCATGACACCGACACGCCCTGAGTTGGGGCAGCGGCAACACCCCTCTCATAAAATCCCTAAACCCTAAACCCTAAACCCCAAGCCCGAGACCCTAAACCCTAAACCCTAAACCCTAAACCCTAAACCACCTCGGGCTGTTTTCATGAAGCATAGCCTCCACGTCGAGGTAATTCTTCAAGTTCTTGCGGCATCGTGCTAGCTAGCTGAGTAAGATCGCAGAAACCTTAAACTGAGCCAGAGAGCGGTGGGCTTAATTCGGCTTGGAGGTTGCCCTTAGGATGAAAGGGCCGAAACGGAAACCCAAAACCCGAAACCCCAAGCCCTAAGCCCCAAAACCTAAACCCTAAACCCTAAACCCCAACCTGAAGCCTTAAACCCTAAACCACTTCACGCCAGAGCCTCTGACCCGAGGACTGGACGCAATTTCCGGAGGCTGCGGGGCCGCCAGAATCCATGTTAAGCAAACTGCTAGGGTTTAGGTTTTAGGGTTTTGGTTTAGGGTTTAGGGTTTAGGGTCTGGTAGCGTTGTTAACGCGCGTCGCGGGCCCTATAGATTGAATTGGCTTTCACCGGCCCACTCTCACGCGCTCGTCGCGTGGCGGTACACCCACCCCAAACCACCCGGCATAAAGTATTGAAGGGTTTTGGTCCTAAAGTCTGGTTGTGGTTGGTGCTCTTATCCGCCGCGGGCGCAGTGCGGCTGTTCCAAAACGTCCCTCGTTCACACAGCAACGGTGGTTGTTGTCACTCGGTAGGGGGGCTGGCCGTTTTGGCTTGACCTTCGTGTTGGGCCAAAGGCCGGATAGCCGTCTCCTGGGGGCTCCCACGGGCTGCGCGAGCGGGCACCTCACTGGCTGAGGGCTGGCCGGAACACATTGCCCGCTCTTTTCCTGGGACTCAAACTTGGCGGGTGCCGGCAAAGGTTCGGCCGGGAGAGCAGTCTCCTGGGCTCCAGTACTGTGACTTGGCCAGCCACGCACGGGGCTGCCAACCTGGCCACTGTTTCTCTGCTGGGCGGGGGGCAAAGTATTTGGGTGCTCATCTTGCCAAAGCGTTCAGCAACCCCAGCTTTAAGTACCTGGGCTGCACATTGCGTGTGGATAGGTTGCTTGCTGAGCGCTCGGACGGCTTCGGGCTCTCACGTGGTGGTAGTGAGCCCTCGGCCAGACTTTAGGGTTTAGGGTTGACTGACAAGTCCAGACAAGAAAGACGTTTGCCGATGAAGGTCTCGGGGTCTAGATTCCAATGGCAAGAATCAGCACGACCATGATCTACCACGAACTTCCGCCCCCGCAACCCGAAGCCGGAAGAGAGCGAGACCAAGTCCTGCAACATCCTGCGCAACTTCCCTAAACCCAGATCCGGCCCCGATATGGCGTGCCTGATGTTCAGGCGCAAGTTGCGTTGCCCCCGAGTCACAAGTTTGATCCGTAGACCTGTCGGGTCAACATGAGACATGAGGGCACAAGCGACTCTTCGTCCAGCTGCAAAGTTGGCACCCCGCAGCACTGCAACTGTCAATCTCAAAGGTATGCCTTAACCCCTAAACCTTAATCCCTAATCCCTAAGCCCTACACGTTTAGACTCTAAACGAATTTAACCCTTGTGAAATCTACCCCACTTGTACAGTCTTTTGTATAGCGCCGAGGCCGTGTGACCCAGTACATATGATCCTTTCGGAGCACACTCCCAGTAGTACCTCACTTTTCCCTTACCCCTACGACAGGGTGCAAACGTTTCTTCTGCAGATGTCTTGAGCTCACCTGACGCCAGAAAATAGGCTGCGTAGTGGACCGCGCAAACCCAGTCTCAAACCGGTAGCGGAGCTCCATCCCACAGTGTGCCTCTTTCGCCCAAGAAACCAGCGTACTGCCCGTAGCTAGGTCAGCCCTACATTTTCCTTCGAACTGTGCCGGTCTCCGGTGTAGCCCGGATGAGGCGTACGGGACGCCGCTTGAAACCAAATCCGGTTCTTGCATATATATGGGAACTGCGGCCGGATTCCACGGTTGGAAGTTCCGCACCCAGGCCCAACGAATAAGCGCGAGATGCTGAAAGACCAACAAACCTGAAACAACATCCATCAAATAAGTTGTATCTTGCTGAGCGAGTGCCGAAGGCAAGAGCAGAGGCAGGAACGCCAGCAGGTCCACGGACAGTGTTTCTGAGAACCCCCATAGGCCAAGATCACCGGGCGATGATGCCCAGACTCCTACACGCACTCAAGGACGGTCTGCAGGTCCTGATGATACAGCTGCAGAGGTGCAGCCGCCGACTTCGCGGGAAGCGGAAACAGCCGAAGATTTCAGCAGCCGTCGATTCACGAGACTCAGATCGATATGAGCGAGTGTGCTGCTCGAGCACTTGAAGGTCTTCGAGGAGAAGCTTTCATCCCTCGTGACATTGGGCTACAAGGCCTCAGAATGCACTGGCATGGACGATAGCGCTATTTCGGAGACGGTGAGAGCGAACTTGCCCGTCGAACTTGCCGGACTATCAAGGTCCGAGCAGCTGATGGTGAAAACAGTTTCCAAGGTTGACGCTGTTGAGGAGTATGCCAAAGTCCTCACTCGCTACCACAGTGTGGCGCGCCACAGTGAACGTTTGCGTGATGAGAGTTCATCGCCCTCTGCAACTATCGAGGAGTTGGTGTGTGTCACCAGACAAAGTCTGGGAAAGGTTCTTTCCAGTTTCAGCCATCCTACGAGCATAGACCTCAGAGTGCCAGGTAAGTTCAGCTACGTGTCATCTGAACACGATGCCAGTACTTGGTGGGACGACAACGGCGCCTATGGAGATGGTTAGTACGCTGAGGTCCCGATGGCAGAGACATGCATTAGCCAGGAAACGCCTGAGCAGGACATAGATCCTGACACAACAGCTGCTCTGAATGCTTATGCGTCCCTGCAGGAGCAAACCCGCCAAGAGGAGATCTCTTCCGAGTGATCACGTGACACTTCTGAAGTCGTCGAGGTTTGTCTTACTTCTGACATCTCACAAGAGGAGCCGACCTCGTCGCAACACGAAGCAGAGGCAAAGAGAAGACGGGCGACAATGTCGCTGATGTCACTATCGAACGGGATATCATTCCCTGTCTACTTCCTCATCGAAGGACTGCCAGGGAAAGGAACTGTGTTGTGTCAATTCATACGTGACAACTTCTCCCAAACTGGTGTAATAACCAAGACACCAAGTACACCGCAGAAGTACTCCTTATTCTTCGTCTTGCTTCCTACAGTTTTGGCTACAGAGAATGCGTTGGCTACGTAGAGTCTGTTCCAATGGAGCCCATCGTACGCTCCGCGAAGAAGAGACGAATGATGGAGAAAGACGTACCAGTCATAGAACTGTGACTTACATCTGTTGTCCATTCCATTTCATGTCATTGTTGTCACGTCTCGTAGATAGGCCGGGTGTGAAATTTACCCACTTTACAGTCTTTTGTGATCCTTTCGTAGTACACTCCAAGTAGTACCTCTCCCCTAAGACACGGTGCAAACGTTCCTTCTGCAGACGTCTTGAGCTCACTTGACGCTAGAAAATAGGCAGCGTAGTGGACCGCGCAAGCCCAGTCTCAAAACCCTAAACGTTTAAACCCTAATGCCTCGTCTGGAGGTGGGTGAAGCAGTAAAGTCGCTCGGAGTCGAAGAGCTGGCGCTCTGCGTGGCCCTATGCAGGGGTCCCAAGCGAAATTCTCCAGGGTTTGGGGTTTAGGGTTTAGGGTTTAGGGTCCAGCATCTCATGTTCTATCTTTTCTAGTCAAGCAATTATCGAGCTTTGGAACAAAACCCACCTGCCCAAAGAATCCCATAACTGTAAGAAAAATGCAAAGTTCACTCAATCCCGAAACCTCGGGCCCTAAACCCCTAAGCCTCAAGGCACCCGGCTCCACAAATTTTTGGTCGGGCCCTACCCCCCCTACCCCGCCATGGTATCCCCCCCAAGTATCCAACCCCAAACCTCTCCCCTAAACCTACCTTAAGCCTCACACCCTTAACCTAAACCGTAAACCTTCAACCCCAAACGCCAAGCCCCCATTCACAACACAGGCGGGGGGGCTAAACCTGAATCCCTAAACTTATGTAAGCCCTAAACCTTAACCCTTGAACCCTAAACCCTACCCCCCCGCCCCCCCAAACCACACCCACACACGGGGAGGGGCGCCAGGGTAGCACGGGCGGCCGGTCTCTTAAACCGTCAACCCCAAATCCTGACCCCAAACCCCATTCACACCACGGGCCTAAACCGTAGACCCTACACCCCGAACCCTAAACCTAAACCCTAACCCTAAACCTTAAACCTAAAGCACCAAGCCCTAACCCCCCAACCACACCCACACTTCGGGGGGGCGCGCGCGTGCCCGCCAGCCTTGCCTGCTAAATATGTGACCTTGCCCGCTACATATATGTCCTTGCCCGCTGGCCTTGCCTGCTAAACATATGACCTTGCCCGCCAAGTGTCTACCCACTGAGTTTAGGAGCTTGCCCGCAAAGTCATTAACATTCATATTATATGTGATAGAGTGGTTTAGGGTTTACATCATTGGAGATCATATGCCCCCAGCATCTATAAACCCTAAGCCCTCTAAACCTTCTAAACCTTCTTTTCCCTAAACCCTAAACTCTGAACCCTAAACCCGAAACCCTCCAAACCCCAAACCCTCGATCCGCGAACCACTGCGACCCTGCAGCAGGTCCGGGCCGTGCAAAATGGGGCGCCGGGCTCCTAGTCCAAGCTCCTTCAATGACATGAGCCTGAACCCGATGCTTCCGGTCGTGCAAGCCCTCCTTGTTTGTAGAGAGAGTACTTTAGGGTTCCAAACGCCGCTATGTCCTGCGCCGAGCCGGTCGTGCTGAGGTGGGCATCGCCGGGAACCAGAAGAAGCGTACTCAGGCTGCTAGGCCCGGGTGCCTGACAGCAGGATCTTGGGGGTTTTAGTTCTCAGTGTTTTTTTGAGGGTTTTTCGAGTTTAGGGTTTTGGAGAGCCTTCCTGAGAGAAAGAGTGAAGTTCTGGAGAGGGGGTGGCTGAACTCACGGGCTTGGTGGACTGCCTTTTGGGGGGGTTTCTGTGCAGTCCTCTTGCTGCCCTTCCAGGGGGCCTAGGACGATGCGGCTGTTTAAGCACCTTGAGCCGGCGAGACCTGCTGTCCCCCCTCCGTTTCTGTGGCACCTCCGAATGCAAGAGCCCCCCAGGGATAAGTGCTGTCACAACCGTTAGGGACCAACCAGATGCTTGAAACGCCGAAGCCTTACGAAGCCCCAAGTGACCTGACGAGGCTCTCCCTTTGCCTGGCAGTGGCGTCGGAAAGTCCCGAGCTGGAGGCCGTCTGCCAGAGGCCAGGGTGTCACCATACTTCCTTGTCCTTGAGAGCCTTCTTGGATTTCCATGCCCGGAATTTAAAGAGGGGTGTGTTTTAGGGTGGCTGTCAGGAATACCTGTTGACATGTTTTTCACAAAGTGTGCCGAAGCCGGCTTCATGCTGGCAGGTGGTGTTGGGCGGTTGGCCAAACCCAGCACCCCCTAAACTCCCTAAACCCTGAACCTTAAACCCTCTTCCCTCCCTTACCCCCCGTAAACCCTAAGCATCCCAACACCCGAAGAACCCTGAACCCCTAAGAACTCTGAACCTTGAGAACCCTCAATGGGTGTCGGATCTCATGTGCTCAAACCGCAGTCGCCCGTGCTGGGGGGAGTTCTACAGAACGCACGAGGCGCGCGGATGTTGTGAGTGGCTGCGCCGTTCGGTTTCGGGTTGAAAGCGACTTGAAGTTTGGTAGGGTGTAGGGTTCAGGGTTGAGGGTTTAGGGTTGGCGTTTCGGGTCTGGGGGTTCAGGGTTTTGTGGTTCAGGGTTTAGGGTTTAGGGTGCTTTCAAGGAGTTCACCAAATCCAGCTGCATCGAAGCAGCAGAGGTCGGTGTGGGAGTGCCTGCTTGCCCTTGTTCAGGTCCGTGTTCAGCCCACGACCTGGAACCTTAAACGCCACGAAAAGCTAAACTCTGAACCCTCTAAAACCCCCCAAGACCTGAACCCGAACCTTGGCATGTTCCCCCCCTTGTATGAACAGTCTTGAATAGGGATTATAGTACGCTCTATCACAATCCCTCTTAGGGACTGTTAGAAAAAGGGGGAACAACCCACCTGAAAACCTTCTTGCCGACCCTTAATTCCTAAAGCCGTGCAACCTGAAGCCTTAAACCCTAAACCCGAAACCCGAAACCCTAAACCCTAAACCCTAAATCCTAAACCCTAAACCCTAGACACCCCCCCAAAAGCTCTAAACTGCTTGTTATGACAGACGAGGCAGAATTGGGAGTTGAGGCAGACAGTGGCCGTGGACTTAAGGAAGGAGGGTTTATTGCTGGTTTATGGGGTTGGGGATTTAGGGTTCGAGGGTTTGGGGATTGTGGGGTTGAGGGTTGACAGGGTTGAAAGGGTTTACAGGGTTTGCAGGGTTTGTTTGGGTACGGTTTAGGGTTCAAGGTTGCCAACCAAACTGCAATTTTGTGGTGCATTGGACCCTGCCGGGGGCAGACAAACCGGCCGACCTTCGAAAGATGCAGAACCAACTTCAAACGATCGCCGCAAGACGAAGGAACAGCTTCCTGAGCGCTGCATGACATTGCAGCACAATGACAATGGCTAAGTGCATTGCTGACTGGCTGCTGTAGTTCTACAGTCCAGAAAGCCCCTCGATTTTTTGAATGCCAAATCGCTGGACCCAGTCATGTCAAGCGTTTACACTCAACCCCTAAACCCTGGAACAGCAGTCCTCGGCCCTAAGCCCTATGCACCAAAGTCTCAGCTTCAGGTACCTACCACTACGCACGGAATCGGAAAGGCCCAGCACAGAAAGGCTCGGTGCGTCGGCCGAAGGCAGGGTTTGAACCCTGGTCCCGAGCAATGGATGTAGGGTTTAGGGCTTTCTAGATGCACGTCCAAGTGAAGCTCGCCCCCAGTTCCCCAAGCGCTAGGCCCGGATATGTCTCAGGAGCCTCAAGAGGAATACTACGCCAGTGCATACGACACTGAGGCAGGACAAGCAGGTTTAGGGTTTGAGATTAGGGTTCAGGGTTCAGGGTTTAGGGTTTAGGGTTTATAGGGTTTAGGGGTTTCTGCGCCTGGGCTTCCAAATGGGGCTCAGCACTGCCTGGTTGTCTCGGTTCATGATGCTTCTAGCGTTGAGGCCGTAGACTCCACGAGCCCAGAACGCGAGACCGGCTGCCCAATATATCCGAAAGCCCTTTGAGTTCTCAGGACTCGAAGGCTTTAGGTCAAGGCCGGTGCGACAAGAGCCATATGGGGGTTTACGAGATAAGGGACCCCGAATGTAGGCCCCGAAGTAGTAGGATTCCCCTCTAAGAAGGACCCCTGAATTGCAAAAGCCCCCATATGTTAGCACACTGTCAGCCGCTGGCAAGTTCTAAAAAATGGTCCCGGCTTGAGGTTTCTCAAAAGCACGTACAAGGCGATGCTCAAACCAGGGTGTCCTGATTTCGCTTGCAGGTCATGATGTCTAACAAAAGCCAGGCAGCGGAATCTACCTCTCTCTTTGTAGATACAAATAAATAGATAGATGTACAGAAAAATACATATGTTTATACCCCGGCCAGGGGGCGAAAGGGCTGCAGCAGAATAGCCTGTGCCTCTGTTCTGGGATCTAGCAGTCACGCTACTGCGGGAAACCCCTGAACCCTGAACCCTGAACCCTGAACCGTTAACCCGTAAATCCTAAAGCCTATCCGGAGGAACCGGATGAGCTGGCTGAGGACGTGTTTTGGACTTGGCCCAAAACCCGAAACCCCAAATACCCAAGCCCTCAAAGGGTTTAGGGCTTTAGCATCTATCCGAAACCCTAAGACTCTATCAGGTAGAGGGGCGCTTTCAGTCTTGGGTTCAGGCTGCCACTGTGCCCGGTTCGGTTGGGGTTGCGGGTTTCGGCTTTCAGCTTTCAGATCGATGTTCTGAATATGTGTCCAACACGGCATCTCTGACACATGGAGCCATTCTTGAACGTTTGGGGATATATACAGGAGGCCCACTAAGTTACTACAGCCCTTTCCAGGGTCTCAGCCAACTCCCCCCCCAAAATCTGCCATTCGACTTGAATAGGCCCGAGTACCGGAGTCCGAGTTCCCAAGTTGCTTGCGGAAATCCGCCCCTTGGGGAGACTCGCAGGAGGAGGGAGAGCCAGGAGAGGTGGAGGAAGAGGAAGTGCCTGTTGAGGCGCAGTTCCGGGAAGCTTTCCGGGGATGTGGACTCAGATTGGGGCATCCCAAAGGTTTTCCGAAGTTGTGAAATCCACCCTGTATAGTCCCCCTTGTCGATAGAGCCGAGGTCACATCTCGTAGAACCCACAACCCCCAAATAGTAGGGCGTAGGTTGAGACTCATTTCACTTGTTTGACTCCGCAGGCACCGTGAGTCCAAAGCCCGACAAAAGGCTTCGTAGTAGGACCGCAGAAACCCAGTCTCGAACTGGTAGTGGAGCACCGCCCCACCATAGAGTGGCGGTCGGCTGCAACAAGCGCCAGGGACCAGGCGGTCAGTTTCACCCAAGTATCAAGTTAAACTAGCGTACTGCCCGTCGCTAGGTGGGGGCAAGCCCCCGTATCCTTTTTCCTTCTCCGACCTGAGCCATGTCCGTGGCAGGACTCCGGTGTAACCCGGACGATACGTATGGCACGCCACTTGAGACCAAGTCTGGCTCATACATCTTTTCCGGCGCAGCATCCGGCTTCCACGACTGGAAATGCCGAACGCAAGCAAGAGTCTTGCAGCAGAAGGAAAAGATGAAGCGCGAGATGATCAAGGACCTTGCAGCCCGCCGAATGGCATCTGAGCTCTTTCGAGTTGGGCAACAGCAGAATGGCCGCGTGGCAGAGTGACGAAAGCATGCACTCTTACATCAATCGTCGGAAGAGGGGTCACGCTGTGTGAACTCGACCCCAGTTTGACCATCTCAGAGGCGATGAGAGCAAACCTATTGGTTGAGCTCTCCGGACTAACGCTCGGGACAAGAGAACGTGGTTATCCAAGGGACTATTCAAACACCCCTGCAATCGAGATGGATTGTGGACATTCAATGGACGTATGCTCTAGCAAATGGTCCAATCTCGTATGCCGAGTAACCGATAGATTCTTGATCGCTTACCAACAAGATGAGTTCAGAAACCCAGTCTCAAATTTGGGAGACTCAGGAGGAGGGAGAGCCTGGAGAGGTGGAGGAAGAGGCGGAAGAGGAAGTGCCTGTTGAGGCGCAGTTCCGGGAAGGAAGCATTGGGGCATCCCAAAGGTTTTCCGAAGTAAGCCCTAAATACCCTAAATGCTTTCAGGCAGCCATGAAGCGCTTGCTCCAAAATTTGGGGTGGCGCTTTTCACCCTAAACCAGAAACCCTTAATTCCCACCCGGCCTGCTTAGGCCGTACCGTTTTCTAGCGTGCCTGGACCCAGAAGATTTCTGGCATCCTGCGATGTGCGTATGGAGACGGGCCGAATCCAAGTGTAAGGTCTCGCCCCTGGCCCCCGCCCCCCCCAGCTTTCCAGGTTGCAAGCCCCTGAGCCCCCTTGAAAGCTCCCTGCCCACGCTTGAGGGGCGACAGCCCTAAATCCTAAAAGGCAGTGTTTGGGCTTCAGGCTTTAGGGTTTAGGTTTAAGGTGTAGGTAGGGGTTAAGCCGTCTCGCCGCGCAACGGCAGTAAATACCATGTGGAAATCGCACCCCAACACACCCGCAGGTCACGCGAAGGCACAATGCAATTATCACTGTTGCTCGGTTTTCTTTATCCCCCCGCTGTGAGCTTTCACGGGCCACCACCCACTCTGTGTCTCATTGCCAGGAACCAGGACCTTGGGATGAAGGGGGCAGCGAAGCTCAGGATGAAGGGGGCAGCGAAGCTCAGGATGAAGGGGGCAGCGAAGCGCAGGTGGGAAATTTGCTGACACAACCCTTGGAACTGAGGGTCCTGGGCTTGCTTGGGGGTTTCAGGGTTTCGGGCTTAGGGTTCAGGGTTTACGGTTTCGGGTTTAGGGCTCAGGGTTTAGGGTTTAGGGGGTTTGTTTAGTTCAGTGATTTCGAGGGTTTTGAAACTTGGACTACTCGAGCTTTAGTTGCCACAGCTTGAATGCAGGGTGGGGTCGGGGTGTGAGGTCGATGCAGGCTTATTCATCAAGGCCAGTACTACACCCGAAACCCCAAACCCTAAAACCCTTAAGCCAGCAAAACCCGAAGCCCTTCATGCGGCAAGGAGCCCGAGACTTGGGAGCCGCCTGCGAAACGACCCAGGCTTGCCTCAGGGTTGGAAGTTTAGGGTTGAGGGTTTAGGGTTTGGGGTTTAGGGTTTAGGGTTTGGGGTTTAGGGTATAGGGTTTAGGGTTTAGGGCTTCTTTTGTGTGCTACTGCCGTGGGCGCATGCCGCGAGTGCGCTTGGCGCATGCCTAGAGCAAGATCTCAGTGCCCGTGATATGGAGGGAATATTTGATTGGTCCCAAAATCTCTCTGCCAGGGTTGTGGTACCGGTGTTCGATGCCCCGTTGCATCCAACGGTGCACCGAGTCACGGGTTTTCAAGATTTAGGGTTTAGACTTTAGGGTTTAGGGTTTTCGGGTTTAGGGTTTTCGGGTTTAGGGTTTTCAGGTTTAGGGTTTTCGGGTTAGGGTTTTCGGGCTCAGGGTTTTCGGGTTTAGGGTTTGTTTTGCTGTGATATGGCGCAAAAGCTGCAGACTAGCTTCGACAGCTTCGTGAAAGAGCAGCCATGGCCCGATTGTGCCCACCTCACGCCGTTTCAGGCAGCAAAGCTACCTAACGCATTCTTTTTCGGGTTTAGACCTACATTCAGGTCAATTGCCTACTTCCAAAGAGCTTCTTCCGTTACCGATGGTATGCCAGGCCAGTTCAGGAGGGGTCCCGAGCAGGCCCGTCACAAAGGCGGTCCAAAACGAAATTCCGGAACCCTAAACCCTAAACCCTAAACCCTGCACCCTAAACCCTAAACCCTGAACCCTGAGCCCTAAACCCGAAACCTTAAACCCTAAGACTTTTTCTGGGGACGCTGCGGAAAGGGGTCCGGGCACCTGAGGCCTGGTGGCCCCCATGCCCGCCCCAGAACGTCAGCGACCGTCTGGGCTTGCGCCCTCCTTGGGGTTTGTGTCGTGTTGTTTCGCTGTTTTCTCTTGCCCTTTTGCGTCGTAGGTTCTGTGTCATTCCGACAAGCCAAAAGGCTGCTCACTGATCTGCTGACGCAAAAGGGGCTTAGCCTGAGCCTTGAGTTTAGGGTTCAGCGTTTCGGGTGTAAGGCTTGGGGTTTGCAGGGCTGTGGTTTACAGGGATTTCGTCCTGCAGTTTGTGTGCATATCTTCGCCTCGGGCGCAGGACCGCTCCTAGCAAGAGTGCCAGGCTCCAAGGAGGGCCTTGCCGCTGTTCGGGCCAGTGGACATATATGGGGGTTTCCATAAGTAGGGGTACCTCATGGGGGTCCTTATTGTAAGGAAATCCTTCTTATTTGGGGGATTAGTCCTTATTAGAAGGGATTCCTAGTATTTGGGTGTTCATATGTCCCCGATGATTGTACTATATGTCATTGTTAGTACTTTCTTGTTCTCACTTTTGCGTCATTCTTTTTCTTATCGTTGTTCTGACCAAAGTGTTATCTTATATCCATGATGACCCTTGGAAATTTCCCTAAGTGCCAGCGGCCGCCATGGTGCACCTTGATGTTGAGGGGGTTGAGGGTTTCAGGGTTTATCATGCCCATAGCAAGGCAAGGTCCAGAGACCTTCGGCGAGACAGGGCCACAAAGGAAACTCCACCGAAGATCTTTTCAAAAGGCTGCCGCCACATGTTCTTGAAGATTGATTTTCAGCGTTCTGGATGCGCTGCTAATGTTGTATCATGACTGCTGATCTTCATGATTGCCATGACCATCATCATTATCATTATTATCATTCTCGTTATTCTTATCATGATGATTGTCATTGTCGTCATCATCATCAGCGTTATTATCACGACCATTGTCGTGGACCATTGTCTCATTGCCATTATCAATATCACAGCATTTTCCCCAATTATTTAGGGGTAGTGTCAGTATTAGGACCACGATTCTTGCCGTGTCTTCTACGTACTGCTATTGTTCCTCTTGCCTCATGGTTGTTGCGAAGCTTGCTTCTCCGAGGTAGCACCGCACTGGCTCTACATCCAAGACATGCCGCCATCCTTGCAGGCCGCTTCTTTTTGCTTCTTGGGGGCTGAGGGTTTGGGGTTTTGGGGTTTTGGGGTTTCAGGGTTTCAGGGTTTCAGAGTTTCAGGGTTTAGGGTTTCAGGGTTTCAGGGTTTCAGGGTTTCAGAGTTTCAGGGTTTAGGGTTTCAGGGTTTCAGGGTTTCAGGGTTTCAGGGTTTCAGGGTTTTGAGTGATTCAGGGTTGAGGGTGCAGATGTCGAGCATTCTTGCTGGGTGGAGTTCTGATACACTCTGCGATTGACATCAAATCCTTGTCTAGTTAACACGAGAGCCCAGCGACCTCCTCCTAACAGGGCCTCCCGCAAGAGACGCTTGCCCTGCTAGCGGGCAACTGGCGAAGGCCAGACCGAAACTGCGCGGTTTTCACGTTGGGGGAATGGGAGCTTCTTATTTGGTTCTGCCTTTCTTCCCTCTGAGCGCTCTCAAGTGCCGCCCCAAAGCAGCCTTGTCTGGGCCCTTGTTCAGGAACGTAAACCGTAGACTATCGTTCCAACATAGGGTGAGATTGGAGAGATTATCGACTTCCCTGATCATGAAAACGGATATAGGTTCCTTAACCAGAACAATGTCTGTTCTGTGCATTGTCGGGCTTCCTGCATCCTTATGAGCACGCAGTGTGCTCTTCTCAGCTGTTGTGGTGCAGGGATTGGAGTCTCAAGAGTGACTGTCGCAAGCCAAACCCCTAGACCCTAGAACCTTTGAACAAAGAGGTGAGCCTGAGTTCTTCCCAAGAAAAGTCTGAACTTAAGATCCTTTGCTAACCAATCCGGAACTCAGAACAGTCTCAGCCCCAATCCTAAGCCACACAAGTTCCTGAGTGTCTCTCTCTCTCTCTCTCTCTCTCTCTCCCTCCCTCTCTCTTAAACCCTGAACCCTGAACCCTAAACCCTACACCCTAAACCCTTCGGAGAGGAAGACGCTCCTGGATGCTGCAGATGACGCCCTGGCCGCCGCGCCCGGCCCTGAGCCTGGGCTTCGAGCCCCTGAAAGCGCGACCCAAAAATCCCCTTGTGGGGGGTTTTACGGGATTCCCTAACATTCACCGCAGATAGTAGGATTTCATAATCAGGTTTTACGAAAATATGGGATTCCCTAAAATTGACCCCGAATAGTAGGATTTTATAATAAGGACCCCGACAAGGCACCCACCCCAAAACTCAAAAAAGCCCCCTTGTTGTGGCAGAAGCTATGGGTCGGCAAAAGGGGGTGGGTTTACCTGGAGGCGCTCAGAGTGCTGTGAAGTTGTGCTTCTTGAGCTCATGGAGCGAAAACCGCACAGTTTCGGGGGAGGGGGGGCCGCGGGGAGGGGGCGGGCGGGGGGCCTGTATTGTTGCTGTTGATTGGTTTGGAGTTCTCGAAATTTCTCCACTTCCCGTGTACTTATGTTGCATAGCCACTTCCCGTGTACTTATGTTGCATATGAAGGTGTAGGCAGGATGCCCGAGATCAAGCGGTTCAACAACATCAACAGCAGAACATCGTTTGGAGGAGAACACAGGTATTGAAATTTTCGAAAGGCTGCTTTGTTTCCGGCAGATAGAGATTTAGAGGATAGATGTAGCTGGAGAGAGGTATTTGTTGCGTCTCGCACCACACAGGCTTCGTACCTGGCACCAGTGCTCTATGCTTAAAGCCTGTGCAACTGTGTGTGGGGACAACACCTAGTTTTTTCGTGTTTCTTTCGTTCTTGCCTGCGCCTTGTAGAGAGTTCAACAGCAGCATCGTTTAAGGTGTTTTTTCGAGGGTGCGGAGTGCAATGGAGGATGCATGCCAGCATGGCCCTGTTGTATTCTGAGCCAGCACGGCCCTGTTGTATTCTGAGCTGCGAAAAAGAGTACGCAAATTTCGTGCAAGCCGCAAACGCAAAACCCTCGCACCATAAACGCACCAGACTTTATATCCTGTACCCTTATTCCATGATTGGTATGATCACTTTCCTGGTTAAGTCCTTTTCCTTGCAGTGGCTTCTTGGCCAGCCTCAGCCCTAAACCCTGAACCCTGAGCCCTGAACCGCCTCAGCTGCAGGCTGGGGGAAGAGGCTGACGAAGTGTACCTGGAGGCCGGGATGCGGCCTGAAGCCCTGCTGGTAGAGAACTGGATTTGTCTGGGCAGTTCATTGCTTTTGTGTGGTCTGGTGTACAGGGATGCGGAACCCCTAAGCGAGACCAGAGTTCAGAAGACTACCCACATGAAGGCCCGCATGAGTAGAACGCATCCCCAATATCCCGCATCCAGGATGACCCCGACGCCACCAAGTTTGGCTCAGCCCGCTGTCTCTGCGAATTTGCAGGGGGTTTAGGGAGACTTTCTGGTCTTGAAGGAGTAGGCTGGTTGTGATGGGGCTCTGTGTCTCTGTCTCTGTGTGTGTGTGTGTGTACAGGAATCAACTGCATCCCTAAACCCTAAACCCTAAACCCTAAACCCTGAACCCTAAACCCTAAACCCTAAACCCTAAACCCTAAACCCTAAACCCTAAACCCTAAACCATCGTAGAGTCTTGCGGAGGTTTCAAGTTTTGTCTCCAGACGAGAGGAGCCTTCGTAATCCCATCGAAGCCTTCGAACAATAGTCGAATACCCGGGCCGCTACCGCAAGCCTTGTTGTTTAGGGTTTAGGGTTTAGGGTTTAGGGTTTAGGGTTTAGGGTTTAGGGTTTAGGGTTTAGGGTTTAGGGTTTAGGGTTTAGGGTTCAGGGTTTAGGGTTTAGGGTTTAGGGTTTAGGGTGAAGGACTACATACAGCTCCAGCCCCTCCCTTGAACTAAGCTTCCAACGGGACCCGGTAAGCTCAACTGGCCAAGCGCCTCCACCCAGCCCCCGACGCTCCTTCACGCTCCATATGGTGCCGATAAACCCCTCGACCCTACACCCCCAAAACCCTAAACCCCTAAACCCCTAGAACCCACCACACCCTAAGCCCTAAACCCCTAAGCCCTAAACTCCTAAACCCTAAACTCCCTAAACCCTAAACCCCTACACCCCTAAACCCTAAACTCTTGAACCCTAAATTCCCTAAACCAGGGATGCTCCCCCCCCCCCCTCCCCCCCCCCCCCCTCCCCCCCCCCCTGAAAAAAAAGATGGTGAACTTCCGAGGTGTTCGAGGCTGTGAAGGAGAAAAGCGGGCTGGAAGCGCCTTGTCAAAAAGGGGTTTAGGGTTTTGGAGTTTAGGGTTTGGGGGTGGGGGGGGGGGTCGAGGAAGGATCCTTGAGGATTTCGAGAGCTGCAGTCAAGTCAGTTCCTCGCAAGGAAGCCGTGAGTTCAATAGCAGCTGGGTTTAGGGTCGAAGGCATTGTCCTGTCAATCAGTGATGAAAGCCAGGATGTCAGCTGTGCAGCGTGTGTTGTTGGGCAGGGCACTCGTACTTGTAACAGCTACTCTGCAGCTTTTTCTGACGTGATGCCAGGGTTTAGGGATATAGGGACGGCGCAGTACTTCCCGTGGCAGAAGCGGGGCCGAGGAGCAGATCACCGTCGCCATTTCTCCCACACAGGAGCCTGCGGCAAGTGATGATAGATGGTGCTCTCGCGATACGCAGGTACCAACCTTGTGCCCCCTCCCCAAGCTCTGAACTAAACCCTAAACCAAACCCTACCCTACACCCTTGCACCCGAACCGAAGGGTTCAGGCCCAAACCTTAAACCTAGACCCCTAAACCCTAAACCCTAAACCCTAAACCCTAAACCCTAAACCCTAAACCCTAAACCCTAAACCCTAAACCCTAAACCCTAAACCCTAAACCCTAAACCCTAAACCCTAAACCCTGCAACGCGAGGAGCTCTGGGCCGTCGGCGTGGGCTCTCAAGGCTCCTCGGCCGATCCCAGCTCCAAAGCTGTAGCACTCGTGGTGGTGAGGGTTGAGGGTTGAGGGTTGAGGGTCGAGGGTCGAGGGTTTAGGGTATAGGGTTTAGGGCTTAGTTTAGGGTTTAGGGTTTAGGGTTTAGGGTTTAGGGTTTAGGGTTTCGGGTTTCGGGTTTCGGGTTTAGGGTGTGAGAATCGCCATGACTACAATAGTACGTAGGAAGGCGTAACTACAACATGACAAATGGGCATGATACCACACACGAAGGAAAGGGTAAATGTTAAATGGCAAATGTTAACCCTTCATTAGACAATTGTAAACAGTACATAGTATAGAGTAAAACGAGAGCAGTCAAAAATAGTGACTAGTAAGCAAGTAATTGTCAATAGTAAGTTCCACATGGTACATCGTCAGTTCGCAATAGTCTAGTGTCATAGATATAGTAGCAGTGACGTAGTGGAAGAGGAAAAGCAATACCGATATATATATATATATATATATTTTTTTTTTCTTAAGAACATTATTATAGAAGTACACCTATCAGAACAATGTTCATGATATTGAAATCAGAATGACAATGGTGGTGCAGATTATGATTGTAGGAGCACAAGTCGCCAGTAGTCGATGGTAACGCCTGCCGAGGGAAGCCACGGGCAGCTGCTGCCAAGGCTTGACCTTCCGGGTTGTAATTCTCTTTAGGGGCTTTGGGGGGTTTTTGGGGGTTTAGGGTTTTTGGGTTTTAGGGTGCGAGGGGTTCAAAGGGTCTTCTCCAAGCCCCTCTCTTTGCCTTTCCCTTAAGCCCCCCCCTTAAGCCCCCCCTTAAGCCCCTCCTTAAGCCCCCCTTTGAGCAAAAGTGATGGGCCCATCAAGGAAACCATTAATCTTGGCAATCTTGATTGGGTGTAACACATCAACGCACTAAGGGGGGGCTTAAGGGGGGACTTAAGGGGGGGCTTAAGGGGGGGCTTAAGGGAGGCTTAAGGGGGGCTTAAAGGGGGGCTTAAAGGGGGCTCAAAGGGGGCTTAAAGGGGCTTAAAGGGGGCTTGAAGGAGGGCTTAAAGGGGCGTAAAGGGGGCTTCAAGGGGGGCTTAAAGGGGGGGCTTCAAGGGGGCTTTGAAGGGGGCTTAAGGTGAAGGGGGGGGGCTTAAAGGGGGGGGGCTAGAGGCTTAAGGGGGAGAGCTTAAAAGGGCTGAAAAAAGGGGCTTGAGGGCGACTCTAAACATTACTTTATCTTGAAGATGAGAGAGAAGGGATTTATTCGAAATTCCACTTCCCTCAAATCTTGTTTTGTTTTTTTGGATTTCGTTCTTCAAAACTAGAGAAGTAAGACTCTAACTTCCATTTGAAAAAAAAGAGAGAGAGAGAGAAGAATTTATTCTAAATTCCACCCGCCTTGAATCTTGTTATATTTTTGTGTTTTTGTGGAATTTCATTATTCGAAACCAGAGAAGTAAGACTCTAAACATGCATTTCCCTTTACGACGCGAAAGAAGGGATTCCACCCCCCTCGAATCTTGTTTTACATTTTGTGTTTGTTTTTGGATTTTATTCTTCGAAACCAGAGAAGTGAGACTCTAAACATTCATTTCCCTTTACGAAAAGAAAGAAGGGAATGTATTCTAAATTCCACCCCCCTCGAATCTTGTTTTGTTTTTTGGGTTTCATTCTTCGAAACCAGACAAGTGAGACTCTTTTTAAAGGGGAGCTTAAGGGCAATTCCACCCCGCTCGCTTCTTCTTTTGTTTTTTGTGTTCAGGGTTTTCGGGGGGTAGGGGTTCGCCTGCTAAACCCGCGAATCGGCACCGTCGGCTCCAAAAATGCCAGCTGTCTTCGTAGTTGTGGTGCAAGTAGCCTTTAACCCTTTTGGGGCACCCCTAATCCAGTGCCCTAAACTCCCCAGACCTTCTTAACTCTTCCACCCTTCTTGGGGGTATTCTTTACCACAATGCGGGCTCAAGCCTTTGTGGATACAGGCCACCAGCTTCAGAGGACAAAGCAAAAACGGATCGGGTTTTGGGTTTAGGGTGCATGGCTTCAAGAAGGTTGCTCGCAGAGCATGTGCAGGTGCGACTTAAATCGGCAGTTGCGGAGCGCAGGGCGTCTCTGCTCAGACGCATTGCAGTGGCTCAGGTCAAGCTGGTAAGATCTTGTTTCGGGCCCAAAGCCCTAAGCCTGAAGCCCTAAACCCTAAAACCAGGCTCTTCCACAAAAGAAGTGGCGCTCCCATCACGGCGAGATTCGCTGTTGCTTTACATTTCTGCGTTGTGTGCCAAGGTCCAGGGTCTGCCAGGCTTTTGGGGTTAGGCTCACGAGATTGGCACAGAGTTTGAGCAGATCACGTCTGAGCAGCTCATGTCTGAGTAGCTTGCAATGCGGGGTCGAGACGCTGACCCCTGGCGTGGGGCGGCCCTTCTGCGGAGTGGTTTTTGTGCTACAGATGAGCATGATTCTCTTCCCTGATCCCCTCCCCCTAATATTAAACCCCCCTCCCTCTACCCCCTAATATGGTGTAAATACCCACATTTTGGTTACATTATCGCAAATGGGGGTATTTACTATTAGGGGGTCGGGGGGGGGTTTGGGGGGGGGTTTAAGATTAGGGAAGGAGAGTAAGCCCTCAACCCTAAGCCCTAAAAACCCGAGTGGTTCATGTGGTTCATGTGTTGATCAGAGCTTGGCGGTCTGCCTCATTGCGCAGGTTGCTTCGGTTTACTCTGGTGAAGTTGAGTTTGCAGTGTTAGTGCTTAGGGCTTAGGGCTCAGGGCTCAGGCTTTAGGGCTGAGGCTTAGAATTGTTAATCCTGGGCCCTGGAATGTCTCTACAATGTTGCTATGAAGGTCAAAAGCCCCTAAACCCTAACCCTAAACCCTAAACCCTAAACCCTAAACCCTAAACCCTAAACCCTAAACCCTAAACCCTAAACCCTAAACCCTAAACCCTAAACCCTAAACCCTAACCCCTAAACCCTAAACCCTAAACCCTAAACCCTGAACCCTGAACCCTAAACCCTAAACCCTAAACCCGACACAAGAAACGAATCCGAGCCAGGTTTAGGGCTTGGGGTTTAGGGTTTAGGGTTTAGGGCTTAAGGTAAGAAGCTGTACCCCAAAACTCAATATCCCTCACCCTTGACTCCTTCGGAGGACCTAAATTGAAGGCCCCCTGTTCCCTCCACCCGAATTCAACCCACCCTAAACCCCAAAACCCTCTGTATGCGTATATGGGCACGGAGCAGTAAACCACCAAGCAAAACTTCAGGCGCCTACCAGGGTTTTAGCTTACAGCAACTAGGGCTTACCCTAAACCCTAAATCTCAAACCCCAAAGCCTCCGATCCCCGAAGCCCTACGTAAGCCCTAAGCCCTGAGCCCTAAGCCCTGAGCCCTAAGCCCTAAGCCCTAAACCCTAAACCCTAACCCCTAAACCCCTAAACCGCTAAGCCCCGAGATCCTTCGCCCTTCGAGCTCCTTCCCGACATGTACCCTAAACCCTAAACCCTAAACCCGAAACCCTGAACCCTAAACCCTAACCCATTGCGGAGGTGGCCCTGGCTACCGAGGTGGCGCTGTATCAAGCCGACTGCGGAGAGGAGTGCGGGGAGACCAGGGTTTAGGGTTTAGGGTTTAGGGTTTAGGGTTTGGGCACTAAAGCCCTAAGCCCTGATGAGATACTTGCGAGTCGCTGCTGGAGAGACGTAGAGAGACGCAGATGATGTGGGCAGTTATTCTACTTTTCCTTTGCATCTGCATGGGAGGCAAGCCCGACAAACAGAGGCATGCACTAGGGAACACCCTGTCGTCCAGGCTTGCCAATAACAGGCCCTTGCTATCAGCCTCTGGTTCGGAGTATCTACAACGGCATGCAAGTCTTTAACGTTTCTAGGGTTCAGGGTTTAGGGTTTCTAGGGTTTAAGGTTTAGGGTTTAGGGTTTAGGGTTTAGGGTTTAGGGTTGAGGGTCCTCAATCTTGGAGGTAGACGGACATCGTATCACGTCAGAGACACAAACGACCAACCTCTTGAGGTTCCACGGAACTAAACCCCCCGAGGGCCCCGAAGCCCCAGTACCCTAATGCCCTACGAGGGGTGGTGGGGGGGGGTGGTGGGGGGTGAAGATCTGAGATCAGCTGGGTCTTGATGTCCAATCATAATGCATGTTGCTCTCATGCTCAAGGTTCTAGCGGATACTACTCTACTCCGTGCGCCTGGAGTAAAACAGAGACTCCTGTCCGCCTTGCTGACTGTACCTTAGTGAGGTCAGTAACGCTCAGGTTACATCTCAACGTGGTAGCGGAGCTTACTGGGACATACCCGGTGTGCTCTGTGTCAACAGAGGTGACCGGGGTAAAGTCCCCCGGCATACTCTGTGAACATAGAGAGAGCCGGAAGCTCGCGCCCAGTAGCAGATCCAGGCAGAGTAGAAAGCCATGGCTAGTTCAACGGCATGGTCGTACCAGAACGACTACGATGAAGAACTTGATGGTGAAGTCTTTGCTACGCACAATCGGTCACTGCATGAGTTGCAGAGATTGTCGGCTTTTCAGCAGGTGACGACGAAGGTACCGCCTGCGTATGATGGTCGAAGTAGCTGGTTCGCCTATGAAGACGCGATAGACGATTGGTGCGACATCACAGAGTTAGAGCCAGAGAAGCAAGGCCCGGCATTGCGGAATCGATTGGAAGGAGAAGCAGCCATCCACAAGCGCCTGTTAGATCGTGACAAGCTGAAGGACAAGACCAATGGCGTGAAGTACTTCAAGTCTTACTTGAGACCCCTCTTCGTGAAGGGAGCCGCCAATGTTTTTCTTTATCGTTTCCAGCAGTTCATGAACCTCCACCGAGGCAGCAGTGACATGCTCAGGTGGATGACCAGATTCTTTCTGGCGCGATCTCGACTGCAGGAATCTTGGGATGACACCTACGTACCCATCACAGATCCGAACAATGCCGAGGTTTCTGCATATCTTCTTGGTTTGTCAACACAGGACCAAGCAACAACAACTCGAGAAGAAGCGATGGAGGCTCTGAACCAAAGATTCAAGGCCACCCACAGTGCAGCGATTCCTATTCCTGAAGGCTTGAACGCCCTGATGTTTGTCAGCCTGTCCGACCTCACGCAGGACCAACGACAAGTGCTGACTTCACTGATGGCTCATAGGAATCGTGCCTTGGGTGATTACAGAGTGGCAGAGCTTCGCGAAGTGTACCTGGAGGTCTTCTGCGCCACGCGAACGTCGGTCGACAACCCCTTGTTGGCGCCATCCTCCCAAGGAGGCCGCAAAACCTTCCTGGTTCTCGACGAAGGCTTCATCGATGATTCCCAAGGCTTCTGGGTTGAAGATGAGGATGAAGGTGTCGAGGGCTTCTTGGAGTTGGACGAGGATTGCTTCTGGGTCTACGACGACGAGTCCGCAGCGTGGTTTCAGAGACGTTTCCAAGGAAGAAGAATGAAGCGAGGCCCCTTCAAGGGTCGGAAGAAAGGAAAAGGCAAGGGCAAAGGCCGAGGAGGCCGAAGGTTCTTCAAGAAGAAGAAGGGCAAAAGCCACATGGTTGAAGAAGATGCCTGGCAGACAGAGTGGCAGTCAGAGTGGCAGGAGACCCCGTGGGACTCTTGGTCCTGGGAAGAAGCCACTACGGACGAGTCCTTCGCTGCCAAGGGCAAGGGAAAGAAAGGGAAGAAAGGCAAACGAAAGGGCAAATGGAACAAAGGAGACAAAGGCGATGGAAAAGACAACGCCGCCCATACTGCTGAAGCTTCCCAAACAACCAACACAGTGGCAGCCTCTACCTTCTACGTTCAGAACGTCATGCCCGATGAGCCTTCTCACTACGAGAGTCCATTCGAATCCTTCATGGCTACCCCAAAGGAAGAGTCGTCGTTTTTGACGCATGCCTTGACGCCAACTTCAATGGTTTTGGATTTGGGGTGCACTAGGGCAATGACTTCCAGGAGAGCAGCCAAGGATCTCATGAACTTTTGTGACGAAAGTCCGAATTGCGGCATTTGGTACAGGTTGGAGCAAACTACTTCGCAATTCACCTTTGCAAATTCTGAGTCTGCAAGCTGTCAGCAGAAAATTGTCATCTGCATGTATGACCGAGAGTCGGCAGTTCAGTCCACCGAGTTTGACATTGTGGAGCAAGGTGAAGTACCAACCCTCATGTCGCTACCTCAAATGCGAAATCTTCGATTCCAATTGAGCCTTCATCCGGACAAGGCCTTTTTGAGCAGCCCTGTGTTAGGCATTAAGTCCTTTCGGCTGAAGGTTGCAAGGTCTTCGCATCTCATCCTCGACTTGCTTGATGTAGCCAACTACATGTGGAATGTGAGATTTGAGAAGCACAAGAAGGTGAGCTTCTTCACTGAGACAGTCCACTACGAGTTTGGCTACAATCAGGGAGAAACTGGGAAGCTTCCCAAGAGGGAAGGAACCCAGGAAGCTCTCGCTGTTGAAGATGAGTGGTTCCTAGATGAAGCAAAGCAAGAGTTGATCCGAATCCACAAAAAAGAGAGGCATCAAGTTTTCGTTCCAAGTTTGTCGCCAATTCCCCTGGAATACCTCGACTCCAAGAGAGCCACGATCTTCGAGTTCGTCGATGGCACGAAGGAGACGAAGGTCGATGATTGGAAAGAGGTTGCTCAGAAGCGCCAGGAAGTCAAGCCTAAGGCTTGGAAAGGAAAGACTGTTTTTCGAATCCTTCCAGGAGGCATCGAAAATAGGACTTCTGTAAAGGCACGAACCACAGGTTCGGGTCCTGGTCGTCGGGGAAACCCTGATGATGTAGTTTCGAAAGGAAGGAAAGACTCTCAAAAGTCAAGGGTTCGAGTGTCAGAGAAGTCCAAGACAGGAAGCTTTCCGAAGGGAAAGGAACCTAAAGGAACTGGAAGCTTCCCTACAGGGAAGGAACCAGCAGTTGACGAGCCCGTTGAGGGCTTGCGTGATGACTCTCTAGAAGAATGTGCTAAGCGCATTCTCGATGGAGCAGGGAAGGACTCTAAAGGAGGACTCCCTGAGAGCGATTTGGACTATTCTCCTTCAGAAGCAGAGATTCCATATGATCCAGCGAAAGAACCTAGGCGGATTTCTCTTCCACTTCCGGGACAAGAGGTGTCCCGTGCTTCTCCGGCGTACAAGCGAATGATCGAAAAGTTGCGAAATGAAGTAGAACTCTACAAATTGCATGTGAAGCATTACCACATGAGTCCATCGCAATTTCGACGCAGAACTGCAATGCTTGGCCTGCCAGGAGACATCTACGAGAAGTACGAAAAGATTTATCGTACCTGTAGGATTTGCAGCACTTCCGTGCCATCGCCGCCGCGAGCCAGAGTAGCAGGTTTACGTGCATCGTCGTTTGGAGACCTGATTTTTGTCGATCACGCTGAAATCAACTATGGTGCTAATAGCTATTTAGTGCTTTTGATCATCGATGGCGCAACAAATCTGTTGTGGGCTACGGCCTTGCGCGGTTTGACTGCTGAGGAGACACTAGGGGCCTTTCGTCAGTGGTTCGAGGAAAACAACTGCATGCCCAAAGGAATCGTAGGAGATCAAGCCTTCTTTACGGACGACTATCGTGAGTTTTACCGTTTTCATGGTATAACACCTTATCCTTGCGGACCAAGGACGCCCTGGCCAAACAGAGCTGAAACAGCTGTGAGATTGTTCAAGCGAACTTGGGCAATCATGGCAAAGGCTCTAGCTGATGAGGGTTATGTTGAAAAGATAACTGTTCGCCAAGCAGTTAAGAAGGTAGTTTGGGCTAGAAACTGTCAGTTGACTATTGCAGGATACTCACCTCTTGAGATAGCGACAGGGCGCAGACCGCCTGATCTTTTCGACATTGAAACCTGTAACCCTGAACAGCTTTCCTCAGAGCCCCCGCAGAGGACAGGACCATTCTGCAGCTTCAACGCATTGCACTGAAGGCGCATCAGGAAGCACGTCAGGCCGTGGACCTTCGCAAGGACTTGGCAGGACGGGTGATGCCCTCAGATGGTCCCTACTCGCAGGGTGATAAGGTGTTTGTTTGGATGAAGGACGAATCAAAGAAGAAATCCGAAGGAATCTGGGTTCGAGGTAAGGTTGTTTCACAGGAAGGTGCCATGGTGTTAGTGCAGATCCATCAGTCTGTTTTGAGAGTGAACCAGTCGAAGGTGAGAAGAGATCACGATCCATGGCATGATGTGTCCATACCTTTGAGTCCAGAAACGGAAGGCTCTCCCAGTGGAGAGGGATCCGAGTATGCCTGTGCTTGCTGTTATTCTCATGAGATCGGTTACTTCAACTACTATGGAGAAGCATGTGATTTTGTTGAGATAACAGCCTCTCTCACTGGCGTGTCGGCTTGCGCTGCCCAATCTGACTTAAGGGTTGGTGAGCCGATTGAGTCCAAACACTGGAGTGAGAAAGGAGTCCAGAATTCCATTCAGTTGGCTTGGAATGTGCTTGAGAAAGGAAACCCCCGTCATGTGATGATCCATCCCGTGGTTCCTGAGAACTGGAACAGGAAAATGAAAAAGGCCTTTTGGCAATTCTGTGCTGATGTTACTCGTTGGCAAGATGACCGAGGCCTTTATGTGTCTATGGT